CCACAAGGAAGTTATTGAACATTCACTTTTGTTGATCACAGCTTTTGTTTTATTCTAATGCAAAGACAATACATGGAAATGAGCCATTCCCCGAATATTAAAACTGTCATAACTTCCTTAATACTGAACATAGAGGGGTGGTTTTGGTATCAAAATTTATGTTTCTTTACACTCTCCCTGATGAAAACATTTGCAGGTCTTAATTTTACTGTCTCATTTTTTTGTAACATACCTAAAAGGTACCAAAGGGAGAAGGCAAAGAGAGTAGTCCAAAAACAAGCGGAAGATCAAATAAACCAGGAAACCAAAACAAACCAAAGCGAAAAGTACCGAAGGGGAAGAAGCGAGAAATCAAAATCCAAAAACCAAAACTGTCATACACAGATAATCAAACCAATAAGCAAACCAAAAAAAATCCAAACAATGAGCAGAGCTCCCGAAGTTTGCGATCCGCGGTCTTTTCTTCACAGGAACCAGGAAGTGACGCGTGAAGTGTCAGTCAAGGAGGCGGAGCCAAGATGCAGCCGGCGAATGACGACGAAGGAGGGAGGTCCGGAGATTCTGCAGGGCTCCCCCTGGAACTTACGACACGTAACACACTGCATTTAACAAGTAACCTATAAGCATTCAAAAAAGTTTATTGCTAATTTTAAAAACAAGTCAGCTGAAACACCCAGCTAAAAATGGAATTTGTTGCGTCGCGAGCGGGGAAGCAGGCGAGTCGAGCCGTGATTACGGGTAGAAACGGGGTTTATTTGGAGCAGACAGGACAATACGGCAGACAACATCAATGACTTATCTGGGGAATACTGACTCAGACGCGGACTAAATACACAGGATAGGCCAAACAGAACAGGCAACAGGTGATTACAATCGGGAATTAACACGAGGCAACGAGGGGGGCGTGGCACACAGGAGGATCGAACGAGCAGGTCATGACAGAATTAGCATCGGTAAACAAATTAATTGCATCATAGTTGGATAAGGCGTTATCATATTATTACAGTTAGCGTGGCTAATTTATTCTGTACGTCAGTACAATTTTTATCAAATCGTTGGATTTATTCAAAATTCTGACTACTATCTTCCCGTATAAAGTCCTGGTCTAACACCTTCATCTTCTTCAGCATGTTTTTTTACTGGAAGGCCAGGATTGGTTGTTACCTTACCTGCAGCTTTATGATTGGCTAGAATATGAATTAATTTGATTGGTGGCTATGCGAGCAAATATTTATCTTCAAAGCGCTAGGCAAATTAGTGGCAAAATTATTTATATGCGCAAGTTTGAATTTGCACTCGCAGGTTGGTATTTGCAAGAGGACTTGGATTTGCAATACAGGTTTTGTACTTGAAAATCATCTTTGTAAAAAATATTTTTATGAAGATGTTTGGTTTCGCATTTACAAAAAATATTGACTTATTTTTTTTTGCTAATGAAAATTGTGTTCAGTGTGAGCAAATTTCTTTTTACGGGTACAAATTGGAAAGTACACATACAAGTACATATATGTACTGTCCATCATTCTGCACTGCGTTTTCTGGCCGTTTTCAGTGCACCATCCGGGTACTTTAAGTGCACTGAATTTTGGCTTAGTTGTCAGTGTGAACGCACTACGCCCTAAAATCGCGCACTAAAAGTGCGCAAGTGCGCGATTTCGGACACACCCATGGCACTATTCTGACTCCATAGGCAACAGTCGTGCTGCCAGACGCAGCGCAGTCGCATACCTGCAGTTTCGGAACAGTCGTAAAGTCAACCAGTCATAAGTCGCATAGGTCGTAAGTTGATGACGACCTGTAGATTTTTTTTAACAATGTAGTGTTTTACCATGCTACATAGCTATTTGTAAAAAATAGCTTCAGCATTTTAAAAGTAGTTGCACTACTGAAAAGCTGCCGAATAAAGTTGAAAGCGTCGCTAATTTTATTTAGATTCTCCGCAACACTGATAACTAGTATGAAGGAAAATGTTACATTCTTTGCAAGCAAGTAATCTCACCTTAAATCTGACTT